AAAAAAAAACACGTGCAGGCCAGTGCACGGGAGCGTTCCCTTGAAGAATGTGAAGTGAACGATAACCGAGTGAGGAGTAAGTGAAGGAATGGATGTGTTCAGACTGAGAAAACGTTCCTCATTGTGGTGTCCGGGTGATGGACCCCTTCGGGCTGGTTAGACTACTCTGTTTCTTCTTGGTTATATTTCATGTTCTCTGTAGTCCAAAGTGCAATGGAAGAGGCCTCTTTCTTACCGGCTGAACTACAGAGCAAACAAGTCTGTGAAATGTGTTGGACATGTAGTCATATTGACTTTGTAGAGATGAAATGCTAACATCCCCGCCGAGGGTTGTTGCTGGGCCTATGGCTGTGGCTGCTGGTGGAACTCCGGGCTTTTCCATTGCACTTGACTGTTCCACATACCCAGCGTCGTGCATCTACTGGGAGATAGAACACCACATTTTAAAAGTTAAGTAAGCTACCTTTTGACATACTGTTTCTTCTAAACACTTCGAACGTTATCAGAGGCTACAAGCGGGTCATGAGAAGCTACCGTGAGGGAACAGTGGTTGAGGAGCACAGCAGTTAAAGCACTCAGCTGCTAAGAAAGGTCAAATGGCTGGAACCCCCAGAAGAGACACAGGGCCGTCTACTTCTGTAAGAGACCCTGTGGGACAATCCTCCCCGGTGCTTCTGAGTCAGAATTGACCCCATGGCAGCAGGCTATGAGAATTTTAACGATCACATTTGGGGTCCATTAATATTTTGTGTTGGGCTTGAGTAGCACCTATGAGCTATGCTGTCATTTTCAAGGTTCTTTTTTCCCCCAAAGACAGGGCTGTGTTGTGCTTTGCTTGGCCATCTGACACAGACGGGCATTTGGGGACGTGCCTGCGGTTCTGGGCACCTTTTTCTGTAGAGATCCTATCACACCGGCACCCTCAACGGGGTCCCGGGTTCAGGAGCCCCCCCAGTCATCTGGCATCTGTAGGCAGCCTGACGGTTGGGACGCCAGTGGGGCTGTGCATGGAACGCTGGGTTCGAGTGAGGCGTGCTATCCTCAGGGCCTCCCCCAGAGTAGAGCCAAAAAGTGACAAGAGCCAGAGTTATTTCAGGAAAAATAAGACTCATTCATTTCACTAAGTGTCACTTTTTCTTCAGTTGGTCAGATTGATAGCCCAAGTGCATCTGCATATACCCTCTTTATCCCCTGCTGATCGGAGGACACTCCATTCCCATCTACCCTTGTCACATCTGGAGTGTCAGATATGTAAATTGCAGCATGCCACAGCCTAATAAGCCAGTCCACTTTCAATTGGATTTCCAGCACCCATATATATTAGCATGTCGAGGACGATGATGCAATTTTTTTCTGTCATCTACTAATCTGGTTTCCTGGGGATTTAGCTTGGGAAGAATGCCAAACACTCAGATAACAGGTGCAGTAAATTCATTTTGGCGTCCCTTATCTCTGCTTCTCACACAGACTTGTTTTTTAATGAGTGGGTGGGTTATTAATCTAATAATCCTAGGATACATGCCATGCATATAGAGCTAGAATAATAGTCCCTATTATTATAAAACAGCTCTGTGAAATTCTAGACCCTACTGTTTCCCTTGACTGCTCAAATTTGCATCTTTACTATGAAGAGGAATGCGAGAAATAGTAAAGTTTCATGAGAAAGCACAATAGGTGCTTACTCGGACTAAAGGAAGCATCTGTTTATGACAGTGGTGGCTCACAGAAAGGGAAGCAGTGGCTTAGAGACACGGTGCAGTGAGGCAGTTTTACTGCTCAGTTATGTCTTAGGAAAACATCCAATTGGTTGTCAAAATTGCTTACCTGGTTTGTTACTATAAATTTTTGTTCCGTGTGGCCAGAGAAGAGTAGAACAATGTTCACATAGTTTATGTCACCTAGATGTCCAATAATAAACGATGTCGCCAGCCTTTTGAATTAGAACCTAAATATTTCCCCACAATCCAGTCCTGTTCCTGATGATTGTTGGCTCTTAAGCTAAAATAATGACAGAAGCTTTGTTTTCTTCCTTCTGAGAAGGAGTCCTGGCAGCACTGTGGGTTAGGAGTTGGGCTGTAACTGCAA